TGGGTCCAGGCTCATCCCCGCTGCCCTGGCCGCAGGATCATCCACGAGGACGGCTATTCCGAGGAGGAATGCCGGCAGTACCGGGCCGTGGTTTACAGCAACACCATCCAGTCCATCGTGGCCATCGTGCGCGCCATGGGCCGCCTGCGCATCGACTTCGGGCACCCTGCGCGTGCCGTGAGTGACCCCAGCCCGGCGGGAATGGGACAGGGAGGGGGGCTGCACAGGGATACGTCGGGGCTGGGAGTGGCCCGAGATCCAACTGGGAATGGGCTCGGGATGTGGGAGGAGCCAGGGATCCGTCAGGGCTGGGAGTGTCCAGGATCTGGGATCCAACTGGGAATGGGCTCTGGACAAGGGATTCCATCAGGGCTGGGAGTGTCCCAGGGTTCCAGTCTGGGAATGGGTTTGGGATGGGAGACTGGATTGGGATTGGGATCCATCAGGGCTGGGGGTGTCCTGGGATCTGGGATCCGCCTGGGAATGGGTTTGGGAGAAGGGACTGGCCAGAGATCCCTCAGGACAGTGGGATTCGTCCTGGGATTGCACTCTGGGAACGAGTTTGGGGCAAGGGACTCCCTCAGGGCTGGGAGTATCCAGGATCCCGCTGGGAATGGGCTTGGGATAAGGGAGGATCCAGGGGATCCCCTCAGGGCGGGATTGGGGCACTGATTTTGGGATTCCACTGTGGGAATGGGTTTGGCACAAGGGAATATCCAGGGATTCCTCAGGGACAGAGTGTCTGGGATCCCCCTGAGTTTCCCCTGGGCCCGCTCCGTCATTCCTGCTGGTCATTCCCGCCGGTCGTTCCCACTTTCCCGCAGGACGATGCCCGGCAGCTGTTTGTCCTGGCGGGAAGCGCCGAGGAGGGGACAATGACGGCCGAGCTGGCTGGGCTGATCCAGCGCCTCTGGAGCGATCCCGGCGTGCAGGCCTGCTTCAGCAGATCCCGGGAATACCAGCTCAACGACTCCGCCTCCTAGTGAGGATCCCCGGGAAGGGCCCTGGGAGGAGGGGAGGGAGGATCCCGGGGGATCCAGGGGGGCTTCCTAGGGGTGGGGATGGGATGGGCTGGGCTGCGGCAGGGAGTGCTGGGGGATCTGGGAATGGTTTGGGATTGAGGACTGGGAATGGTTTGGGATTGAGGACTGGGAATGGTTTGGGATTGAGGACTGGAGTGGTTTGGGATTTAGGACTGGAGTGGTTTGGGATTTAAGCCTGGAATGGTTTGGGATTGCAGTCTGGAATGGTTTGGGATTGCAGCCTTGAATGGTTTGGGATTGCAGCCTGGAATGGTTTGGGATTGCAGTCTGGAATGGTTTGGGATTGCAGTCTGGAATGGTTTGGGATTGCAGCCTGGAATGGTTTGGGATTGCAGCCTGGAATGGTTTGGGATTGCAGCCTGGAAAAGCAGCTCAGAGGAGTTTCAGGCTGGACTGGGATTCCTGAAGCCTTGAAGTGGCTCCTTCCAGGGCTGTATCCTCAGGGAATGTTGGGAAGGAGGCTTGGGATGGATCTGCCTGGATTGGGATGCACAGGGATCCCATCCCATCCTGGCCCAGATCCCATCCCATCCTGGCTCTGGGATCCCATCCCATCCTGGCACAGATCCCATCCCATCCTGGCACAGGGATCCCATCCCATCCTGGCCCAGATCCCATCCCATCCTGGCACTAGGATCCCATCCCATCCTGGCACAGGGATCCCATCCCATCCTGGCCCAGATCCCATCCCATCCTGGCACAGATCCCATCCCATTCCTGGCCCAGCTCCCCCTCCCTCTCTCTCTCACCTCCCCCCATGGATGACCCCCAATCCCAAATCCCGCTGTTTCTGGGCTTGGGGTCGGGACTGGAACCTCTCCCCTGGTGCCTCCTGATCCCACATTCCCATCCCTCAATCCCATCCCTGTTTTCCCTGGCTCAGTTACCTCAACGACCTGCAGAGGATCTCCCAGCAGAGCTACATCCCCACCCAGCAGGACGTGCTGCGCACCAGGGTCAAAACCACGGGCATTGTGGAGACCCACTTCACCTTCAAGGACCTGTACTTCAAGTGAGTGGCACTTCCAGCCGTTCCAGAGGGATAGGAAATCCCTGGATAGTCCCTCATCCTGTCCCAAAGTGATAGGAAAGCCCTGGATAGTCCCTGATCCTGGTTTAATGTCCTTCCCTGAGGGGAAATCCACGGGAATTGAGGAGACTCATTTCACCTTCAAGGACCTGCATTTCCAGGGATGGATATTCCCAGCCATTCTAGAGGGCTGGGAAAATCCCTGGATATCCCTGATGCTGGTTTAGTGTGTCCCAAAGTGATGGGAAATCCCTGGATAACCCCCAGTCCTGGTTTAATGTCCTTCCCCGGGGGGAAATCCACGGGCATTGTGGAGACTCATTTCACCTTCAAGGACCTGTACTTCAAGTGAGTGATGGTCCCAGCTGTTCCAGAGGGCTGGGAAATCCCTGGATAGTCCCTCATCCTGTCCCAAATTGATGGGAGAGTCCTAGATAGTCCCTGATCCTGGTTCAGTGTCCTTCCCTGAGAGGAAAACCACAGGGATTGTGGAGACTCATTTCACCTTCAAGGACCTGCATTTCCAGGAAGGGGCGATCCCAGCCCATCCCTGTGTCCCAAAGGGCTGGAAAACCCCTGGAGAACCCCCAGTCCTGGTTTAGTGTGTCCCACAGCAGTGGGAGATCACTGGAAAATCCCTGATCCTGGTTTAGTGTCCTCCCCTGGGGCTGAAAACCACAGGAACTGGAGCTGCATTTCCAGGGAGTGACATTCCCAGCCCTTCCCAAAGACAGTGCCGGCCCTTCCCTGTGTCCCAAAGGGCTGGAAAATCCCTGGACAGCCCCTGCTCCGGGTTCACTTGTCCTTCCCTGGGAAGGCTTTGGTTTGATTTCCCTTCTTCTGTTCTTTCCAGCTGCTTTTCCCTCGGGATCACACCCACACAGGTACCTCGCTGCTCCTTTTCCAGGCCCCCCATCCCAAAAACAAACCCGGCTAAAAGGAGCCCTGAGTGGAATTTGACCCCTTCCCGTGGCACAGGGAGCTTTCCATGTGCTCCTCCAGGAATTCCAGCCTGGATGGGGCTCTCCTGGTCCCTCTTCCCTCTTTCCTGCCTTCCTTGCTGCTCAGGAATTCCCGGCTTGGAATGCCCGGGGGTTGCTCCTGGAGCTCTCCCTGTGGGAATTCCCGTGGTGTTTGTGGCCGGTTTTCCCTGTTTGGAGCTTTTCCCTGTGAATCCCATTCCTAAAAAAGTGCCTAGTGGCTTCTCCAGAGCTCGTGTTTGCTTGGAAATCCCGGGGTTTTTATGGAATTCTGGGCTGGGTTGGGTTGGGAAGGACCTTGAAGCTCATCCAGTGCCCTGGGCAGGGACACCTCCTATTATCCCAGCTCGTTCCAAGTTTATCCAGCCTGGCCTTGGATGCTTCCAGGGATGGAGCATCCTCTGGGAATTCCATCCCAGCCCCTCCCAGGATCCCAATATCCCATTCCCACAAATACAGGAGCTCCAGGGCTGGAATTTGGGAGTCCTCAGGGAGGCTCCTCCCCCATGGATCTCCCCCCCTCAGTGGGATCTCCTGGAATCTCAGGCAATTCCCACCTTCCCAGGGGGTTTGTGGCACAGGGAAGGTGGGAATGGAATCGTGGAATTCCCTCCCTGTGGGAACAAATCCATGGCCAGGACTTGTGGTTTGAACCAGATTAAATTCATTAAATCCCATCCCATCCCATCCCTGGGCAGGGACACCTCCCCCCATCCCAGGCTGCTCCAGCCTGGCCTTGGACACTCCCAGGGATGGAGCATCCTCTGGGAATTCCATCCCAGCCCCTCCCAGGGAGGAATTCCCTCCCAGTATCCCATCTAACCCTCTGGCAGTGGGAAGCCATTCCCTGAGTCCTGTCCCTCCATCCTTGCCCCCAGTCCCTCTCCAGCTCTCCTGGAGCCCCTTCAGGCCCTGGAAGGGGCTCCAAGGTGTCCCTGGAGCCTTCCCTTCTCCAGGGGAACATTCCCAGCTCTCCTAGCCTGGCTCCAGAGCAGAGGGGCTCCAGAATCCTGGAATTCCGGGATGGTTTGGATGGGAAGGGACCTCAAATCCCATCCCATTCCATGGGCAGGGACACCTCCCTCCATCCCAGGCTTCTCCAACCTGGCCTTGCACACTCCCAGGGATGGGGCATCCCCTGGGAATTCCATCCCAGCCCCTCCAGCAATCCCTTCCCGCTATCCCACCGGATCTGATCCGGTTTTCCCACCTTTCCCAGGATGTTTGACGTGGGGGGGCAGCGCTCGGAGCGCAAGAAGTGGATCCACTGCTTCGAGGGCGTCACCGCCATCATCTTCTGCGTGGCCCTGAGCGACTACGACCTGGTGCTGGCCGAGGACGAGGAGATGGTGCGGGAACCTGGGAGAGTGGGAGCCTGGGAGAGGGGGATTGGGAGACTGGGGGAGAGGGAGAGCCCGGAATGGCCCGCGGGAACCGCCCCGGTGGGGTCAGTCCTGCAGGAGCTGCTCCAACCTGGATCCATATCCATGGGCTCAGTCCCTCAGGGACTGCTACAGGTCCCTTTCCATGGGGTCAGTCCTTCAGGAACTGCTCCAGGCTCTTCCATAGGATCAATCCAGGTCCCTTTCCACGGGCTCAGTCCCTCAGGAACTACCCCAATCTGGGTCCCTTTCCACTGGTCAGTCCTTCAGGAACTGCTCCAGGTCCTTCCATGGGATCAGTCCAGGTCCCTTTCCATGGGTTCAATCCAAGTCCATTTCCATGGGTCAGTCCCTCAGGAACTGCTCCAGGTCCTTCCATAGGATCAATCCAGGTCCCTTTCCACACGCTCAGTCCCTCAGGCATTGTCCCTTCCCATGGGCTCATTCCCTCAGGAACTGTCCCTTCCCATGGGCTCATTCCCTCAGGAACTGTCCCTTCCCACAGGCTCATTCCCTCAGGAATTTCCCACTCCCAGGGTGGGGTTGGAGGGGAGGTGACCCCCCCTTTCCCTGTCCCCATCCCTGTCCCTCTGTGTCCAGAACCGGATGCACGAGAGCATGAAGCTCTTCGACAGCATCTGCAACAACAAGTGGTTCACCGACACCTCCATCATCCTCTTCCTCAACAAGAAGGACCTGTTTGAGGAGAAGATCCGCAAGAGCCCCCTCACCATCTGCTACCCCGAGTACTCAGGTACCGGATCCACCCCCTGGAGCAGGGATGGGCCTCTCCAGCCCTTGGGAATCCCGCGGGAATGCCGGCTCAGAGCCCGCCAGACTGAGCTGGGTCCTGCTCTGGGCCCTTCCAGCCCCAGCCGTTCCATGGTTCCGTGATTTTGAGGTCCCTGCTAACCCAAACCATTCCATGATTCCATGATTTATCCCTCTTTTCTTTTAAGATCTTCCCAACCCAACCATTCTGTGATTTTAAGGTCCCTCCCAACCCAAACCATCCCGTGATTCCATGTCTTTAAAGTCCTTCCAACTCAACCATCCCATGATTTTAAGCTCCCTTCCCTCCCAACCATTCCGTGACTTTGAAGTCCCTCCCAACCCAACCATTCCATGGTTTTAAGGTCCTGCCCAACCACCCATCCCACATAATTCTACCATTTGTCCCTCCTTTCCTTTCAGTCCCTTCCAACCCAACCATTCCATGATTTTAAGCTCCCTCCTCCCAACCCAAACCATCCCGTGACTCCATGACTTTAAAGTCCTTCCCATCCAACCATTCCATGATTTTAGGGTCCCTCCCACCCACCCATCCCATGATTTTGAGCTCCCTCCCCACCCGCCCATTCCACATTTCCACCTTTGTCTCTCCTTTCCTTTCAGTCCCTTCCAACCCAACCACTCCATGATTTTAAGGTCTCTCCCAACCCAACCATTCCATGATTTTAAGCTCCCTTCCCTCCCAACCATTCTGTGACTTCAAGGTCCTTTCCCAACCCAACCATTCCATGATTTGTCCCTCTTTTCTTTTAAGACCCTTCCCATGCAACCATTCCATGATTTTAAGGTCCCTCCCAACCCAACCATTCCATGATTTCAAGGTCCTTTCCCAACCAACCCATTCCTTGGTTTTAAGGTCCCTCCCAACCCAACCATTCCATGATTTCAAGGTCCTTTCCCAACCAACCATTCCTTGGTTTTAAGGTTCCTTCCCATCCACCCATCCCACGATTTTAAGGTCCCTTCCCATGCAACCATTCCATGATTTTAAGCTCCCTTTCCACCCACCCATCCCATGATTTTAAGGTCCCTTCCCGTCCACCCATCCCATAATTTTAAGGTCCCTTCCCTCCCAACCATTCCACAACTTCAAGGTCTCTCCCACCCACCCATTCCATAATTTCAAGCTCCCTCCCTGCCCACCCAATCCCCCAATCCCACCTTCGCTCCCCCTCCCTCCCCTCCCATCTCTCTGCCCCCCCCCCCATTCCCGACGGTGCCCGAATCCCGGGATCTGTGGCTCGTGCCAGGCTCCAACACGTACGAGGAGGCGGCCGCCTACATCCAGTGCCAGTTCGAGGAGC